ATATATAGTACGAGACGCGGAATCCAAAGCGACGTTCAGGAGAAACAGGGTGATGATCAACACAGACGGAGAAAACTCTGCGGAGCGAGTGGACGATTTCACTACACCACCAAGCTCGCCAACACAACAAGACGAAGAAACCCTGGTCAAAGCAGAGAATGCCCGGTGCCAAACCTCCTTGTCGGTTAACAGCAAAGCAGAGGAGACGAAAATCCAGGAATCGACGGAGGACAATGAGGAGGAAGAAAACCCAGTCAGGAGAAGCAATAGGGCGAAAAGACCCACTCAACGGTATCAACCGTAACAACAATCTAAGCGTAAATTGTGACAGATAAACTTATAGACCCACGCATGTATATAATACTTGGAAGAGAAGATGTAATACCCGCCAATAATTTAAATAGCTGCGTCTGCTATGCAGCTACAACGTCAATAACAATAAAAGCCAGTCACAACTTGTGCACTCATCATGACGGCTACCAAGCTACACTAGTCCTGATTCTGCATGTAGTACGGAACAACACACCCTCGAGCTCCCGGGTGTCGTCGAGTCGATTCCTTGGCGTGAAGATGGGCTACTCGGGAGCGGAGTCTCACGCACTTCAGGGTGTGTGTCGAGTCCAGGATTCCCATCGAATCCTTCCTCTCCCTCAAGCCCAATATCTACGGGTTTTTCAACTGGGGTTCGGCGGTGCTGCAGTCCTCGAGGACTTCTGCGATCGCCTGGATGCAGTGCTCCTCGTTCGACGCAGGACACCGTGCGATGCTGAGGTCAGGAGGGAATCGTTCGAACTTGTTATAACGAAACAAGTGTCGGTTTCTCATAAAGTCGATCCTGACAGCTCGCCTGCGCGGCGTTGAGTCAGAGCCTGTGCCAACAGAGGGCGCTCGGGTATGCTCAAGCAGAGCAACGAAAAGAGCCCCATGATAGTGTGCTATGATTATAGGTAAATGTGAGGATGCTGAACGCTCCGATGGATGGAAATGTAATAATTATGAAGGATAATGGAATATATGGTTCAATAAATGCCTAGACGTCTCGGCCCGGGGCACAGTGGTTTCGAAGTAAGTCGTCTGCTAGTCAGCGACAACACGAAGACGACAGAAGTCACCGAGGATCGGATCCGCGCGGTATCGCGGGCCCGGGAAGGATTCTCCAAAAATACTGAAACAGCTGTGACCTGGGACGGGAGACTACGGTCGGGGAAGACCAATCGACTGTTTTCACTGCCTGGGGAGCGAGCGATTTTTATTAGTTTTTTCGTTACCACAGGACGATGACCTTGAAGAAACGTGCGAAACCAAGATGTGCAACTTCGAAAATCGACTGGAACGAAAACAAGCTTCATCACCGGTCACCGTTGTCCCTTAACTAGATTTATTATCCGTCTGCTTCTTGGAACTACCTCGTATTTTAAAATTTACGCTAACCGTCACCGCCACCCCGCCAAATTTCTACATATTGAAGCGGATTATGCCACCGTGCACAGTATGCGGTAATAACGCTCGTTCCCAATCGAGGCGGATCTTCCCCTGTACGAGATAAATGAAATGATCGCTGACAACAATATCTTCGGATCCGATTCAAATACGAGCCAGTCCGGAGGCTCGTGTTCGAGCGAGGAAGGCGAATCATTGATCCGGCGACGTCAACGCGATCTGATTCGATCCGGATTCACCGTTGTGTAGGGAACAATTTTCCTTGTCCCTCAAGAGGTCAAATGTACCATCTACCATCCACCCCGCATCCCCTCTCATGCGCTACGTGTGCTGCTCGCGACTCTAATGTTTCCAATGATTCCTGAAGCTGTTCACGTGCATTTTCGTCATGGTCTCATCGTGCGAATGAATTAATTGTCATGTCAAATCTGGCAGCCTGATCAAGACTCGGCCCCCCCTTGTCCACTCGAAACTGAATGCCCTTTCCCTCGCGAATTCCGGCGTCTTAACTTTCAGAGCGCCTCGTTTGACGCTGTCCCAACACGCCACGTGTAAGAGCGCGCTGGCGGATCCCGCGAACTGCAAATTTTCCAAAGCTGACAGCTGCGAAAATACGCAAGGGCTCCTTGAACTCCTCGAGATACAGGGTTTTGGTACTGATCTCTTGGCTCTATTATTTTGACCGCTACTGTATGTGAAGGAACCAACCAGAAAGAAACTAGACCCCCGAGGAATTCCTGGATTTCTCGTGGGTCTGGGCACGGAAGTCGCAAGCTACAGAGTCTGGTCACCTGGGAGAAAAATTGTGGTGACAACTAAGGACGTCATATTCCCGAAGGAAAGTCTACTGAACAGTGGCAGTCCGCAAGATGAAGATGGTGAAACTAGAGCCCAGTTGCCGTGTCACGGTATCACGGAAAATAATTTCCGTGAATTTCCGTGACCGTGTCCCGGTAATTCACGGAAAATAAAATTTGCAAGATGTAATTCATGTGAAAGTTCAGCGCTCGGTATGGAAATAAATAGTGCGGCTGAGATGTAAAACGATGACACTCGTCCAAGCCCAAGCACCTGCATGGATGATAAGTGAACAAAGTGAAAACCGCACCACAATTTCAGAAGACGAATAATTTTATTCAATCACGGTCGTAGTTTGCGACTGCCACATGGAATATACATGGAATCAATTGGAAGGAAATCAAAACAGACATATTGCACTGACATCGACATCGTAACATGATATCACAAAACTATGGTGACAATAACCAGCCGATGTCACAAAGCACATCATGCCCAACATGGATGGCACATGATGCATGATGCTTACTATGAGCGAGTGCTTGCCTGATCTCCTCTCGGGAGCCAGGACTTACTCTTCGTGATATAATCTTTCAGGAAATGATTACCGAATCGCCCATCATTTTGAGATTCTTGATTATAACGCCTAGCAGAGCGTGCCTTGCTGAAGATACGCTCTGCCGGCACACTCGTCGCCTGCAGGGTGTCGAGAGTGGCTACCAGAACTTCTGGTAGGCTCTTGGCACCCTGTCTTTGGATCGTATCCTGGGAGGGCGGCGTGCAGTCCATTTCGTCTTCATCCCCGCTTAGATAGATTTTGTAGAAGTCTTTGGGACCTTCACTTCGCGCGTCATGCTCAGGATCCTCTTCTACTGCCGACTTCGACTGTAATTTCGAAATTTCAGCAGCCAAACCTCCGGGTTGTAGGGAGGTCTTGTGTACAGCCTCCTGCCCGGCCGCTACAACTTGCTCTCTGACGTCATCCAGCCTTGTATCCAATTCAATCTCCGCACCCTTCTTCCGCGTCAGTCTTGATAGCCTGGACGCAACTCTTGGACGTCGACGAAGTCCCACTCTGCAGGAGCAGTATGCGCTGTCACGTTCAGTGTTCAGTGTGTCCAGTGTCCAGTACGGTCAAGTCAAGTGCAAGCCGTGAGCGAATCCAATAGTCGACAAAATAAACCACAAATAGGTCCGAAATATGCGCCATTCGCTTCATTGTTTACATCCGGCATTCATCTATCAATTCTATTCTATTCTTCTATTAAGGTTTCGGTAAATTGCAGATACCCCTGCAGTGCCTTGCTAATTCCGCTGATGTACGATTAAAATGTCAAAATCGATGATAGATACATTGCAACCCGTGAAGTTGCACGAAAAATCAAATTTTCCCGCTGCTCGCCTGCTTGTTTACATCATCTTGTTTACCAACACGAGTGACATCCACGTGTTGTGATTTGTGATGTGTTGTTATGCCTCGGTCGGTATTCTCAAAGCTCTGTCAAAAAAGGTTAGTTTGGCCAAATTCACTGATTGAATCAAGGGTAACTACCGCGCGAATCGATTGCCGAGGTTCCTGGCATATTTCAAGTCAAAAAACTGTTGGGAAATTGCTTGCCGGCGACGCTCGTAATCCATAGCGCAGAATCGCGAGCGGGTCACTCTTGGCATTTCCGCAAAAATTCAGTTTGCGTCCAAGACTTATTCGTGTCGTTCATTCAATCGACGCATCAGGTTGATTAATATCCCGATTTCAGCCGTGGTTTCCGGATCAATCACTTGGTGGCTTCATTCCATCAAGAACGGTGAGTTCTCTATGAATCTGTGTTAAAACCGGGCTTATCGCGCAGTTTCTTTGCTGAGCGTTCAAGCCTATCGCTAATAATAATAAATAGAAATAAAATATCGTGCATCTCGCTCGCTTAATCCGCTAGTATTCACAATTCACCACCACCTCTGACTAGCTAATAACCTACAATAAAACCTCAAGATCATTAGTTTCACTAACCTAAAGAGTGAGTTAACTCCGTGACATGCCTTCGATTGTGCATGACGTAGCTGCTAGTTCGCTGTTCGCTCGCTTCGCGGCCCACCTTGTGGTCAAGGTAAAGTATCGGTGTCTAAGAATATTTCGCGTAGAGATCGTTCCTCAGATGGCTAGTTGTCGAAGTATGACCAGTGAGTATAACCATCCATTCCGCTTGCATGCTGCGTCAACTTCTGCAGTCTGCAGTCTGCAGCCGCAGCCGCAGTCTCTATATCTCGATTCTCGATCGATGGTGTGCATGAATTCGCTCCGGTTCTCACATTCTCACGTCCATCTTGTGCTCCAAGCAATTAGGTACCGCGGAGCAGAGGTATTCGGAGAAACTCACGGCCATCTTCCACTTCAGAGCCCAAACGGGGTCCAGTTCTTAGGAAGCGAGATCATGACAACCTAGGGAGCTCACAGAAAACCACTGTGTCCAAGCAATTTCGATTTCGGTCTTCCGCGCGAGGGGAGCAAGTGGATGAAGAAGAGGCTCCTCCGGTATACGCTGGCGCTTCTACCCAATCTATTCTCGTCGATGCTGCCTCGGATGTAGGGAATGCTGATGACAAGACAGCTGATGACAATTCATCACTCGAAGTCGCTCCGACCCCGAGTCGCAGGGGCCGCCCGAGGAAGCCTCGAGGTGAGACTCATGCTCATGTGTGAGTCACTATTGATCGAATTTTTTCCGCTTCCACCGTGCTCGAGGTAATGATGCTCTTTCCTCCAGATCCCGTCTGGGAGAACTTCGAGCCGACGGCCGACAAAGATGTACAAATATGCAAGATATGCCGCGAGCCGCGGCGTACTGGCAAGCAAAGCGCTAGCACTTTGAAAACCCACATGGCGACCCATGCGAAGAAAGATTCGACGAGCGCGACGGCTGAGTTGCTAAACTGGTTGGTTCCCGGTATAGTGACTGTCTTAAATACGCCGGTTAGCCATTTCAATTCACCATTCTTCGGCAAGCTGTTTGATCTTGCCAAACTTGGCCCAATCAACGAGAAGATTGCTAGACGATTGTGCGATTCGACAGCTAAGTAAGTAGGCTCGATCACTTGCTCAGCGATGATGTAGTTTAACTTGCCAAAGTGAGGACATTTCTTAAGCATGCAACCTTGCAGTATGGTGAAGAGCAGGTTGGCAGCCGACCTCGCTACTCTCAGAAGTGAAGGGACGGTTTTCACGCTTACCGCAGATGAGTGGACATGGCAGCGCAAGCGCTTTGTTGGTCAGTAGTCACTTTTTCCTACCAAACATGTCTCGGATATCGGAAGCGACGTCATGTGTAAAACTTCCTTGTGGATGTTTGCTGACATTCGATATTTCAGGCGTCACTCTTCATTCCTCGGTGAATATCCCACATTTCAATGCGAGATCCGTTGAAATAATGTCGAGATTCCGAGAGCGAGCTACTGCAACGCATCTCCACGAAGTCCTTCTCGACAATCTCACGGAGCTCAATTTGTCTATCGGAGACATCAAAGGGATCACTACTGACGCGGCGTCAGTGATGCGACGCGTCGGCGACCTCCTGGCAGCCTCAGCTGGCTCAGATCAGTTCTACCACCAATTGTGCTTCGCTCACGGCTTGCACTTGGCCGTACTTGACACACTGAAAGTGACCACGCATACTGCTCCTGCAGAGTGGGACCTCGTCGACGTCCAAGCTGACGGAGAAGAGCAGCCGGATGATGAGCTAGAGAGGGTCTCCCCTGAATATTGCAGCTCCTCAGGTTCTCTTGTCAACGCCGTACGCGAAGAGTGTCAAAAATTCCAAAGGAGTCCCGCCATGAACGACGAGCTGCAAAAACTCGCCCTTGCGGCCGGCTGCCAAGTGAAACTTGTGGTTGACATTCGCATACGCTGGAGTAGCACCCTTAGGATGTTGCAAAACTTCCTCAAAAATGAAAACCCGCTCAAAGAATTTTATGGAGCGACTCGCGATGTTGCCGGCTTGTTCCCGTTTACCGACAGAGACCTGAAAAAAATCAAACATGTAGCGGCCGCACTCAGTCACGTCGAAGAGTGTACGCGACGCCTTTCACTCGCGGACGCCACCTTGAGATCTGCCGATCTGGCTTTACAAGTGAGTTTCTAATTTCTTTTCTAATTTCTCCCTAAGAGGAGTTTCTCATTTCTCACGGAGTCGTGAAGATGAATTGGTATGTCTGATAGTATAGCTTCATGTACATGATTCTTGTTCCAGGCCATGATCATGAAACTGGAATCGGAGCACGGAAAATTCGCTGCATCACTCCGCAAGAACATCTGCATCCGACTTCTCCAGAGGAGAGGAGTTGCGTCCAGGCTATCAAGACTGACGCGGAAGAAGGGTGCGGAGACTGAATTGGATACATGGCTGGATGACGTCAGAGAACAAGTTGTAGCGGCCGGGCAGGAGGCTGTGTACAAGACCTTCCTACCACCCGGAGATTTGGCGGCTGAAATTTCGAAATTCCAGTCGGAGACGGCAGTAGAAGAGGATCCTCCTGAGCATGACGCGCGAAGTGAAGGTCCCAAAGACTTCTACGAAATCTATTTAAACAGGGATGAAGACGAGATGGATTGCACGCCGTCCTCTCAGGAAACGATCCAAAGACAGGGTGTCAAGAGCCTACCAGAAGTTCTGGTAGCTACTCTCGACACCCTGCAGCCGACGAGTGTGCCGGCAGAGCGTATCTTCAGCAAGGCACGCTCTGCTAGGCGTTACAATCAAGAATCTCAAAATGATGAGCGATTCGGTAGTTATATATTCCTGAAAGATTATATCACGAAGAGTAAACCCTGGCTCCCGAGAGGAGATCGGGCAAGCACTCGCTCATAATAAGCATGCATCATGTATCATGTGCCATCCATGTTGGGTATGATGTGCTTTGTAACATCGGCTGGTTATTGTCACCATAGTTTTGTGATATCATGCTACGATGTCAGTGCAATATGTCCGTTTTGATCTCCTTATAATTGATTCCATGTATATTCCATGTGGCAGTCGCGAACTACGACTGTGATTGAATAAAATTATCCGTCTTCTGAAATTGTGGTGCGGTTTTCACTTTGTTCACTTATCATCCATGCAGGTGCTTGGACGAGTATCATCGTTTTACATCTCAGCTGCACTATTTACTTCCATACCGAGCGCTGAACTTTCACATGAATTACACCTTGCAATTTTTATTTTCCGTGAATTACCGGGACACGGTCACGGAAAGTCACGGAAATTATTTTCCGCGATACCGTGACACGGTAACTGGGCTCTAGGTGAAACTCAAGCAGTGCCACCAGAGAATCCAGATAATTTTTCAACCAGTGAAACAAGTGACCAAGCAGCGGAACTGCCTGGACCAAGCAACCAGCAGGAGACGAGTGACCAAACAGAAGAACGCAACCAAAACAGTGTGACACCACCACAGGCGAGTGGTTCGGGAACGAACTAAACCGACTCTCTCCCAACGCTCCTGACTGGAGACGGTCAAGTTAGTACTAGGAGAATAATCAGGATACAGTACGAACTCAATCCTGAACGTCTAGCTTCATTGAGACCACGTATAAGAATAAACAATAGATAATATGAAGGGAGGCATCCAGCTAGTATTGGCATAGCGAATATTAGCGATTCAGACCAGATAAAAGAACCAAACTCATATGGAGAAGCTATAAATTCTGAACAAGGTCAGGAGTGGCTAGAAGCCATGGGAGCCGAAATGAACAGCATGACGGCATTGAACGTGTGGACTCTAACCACACCACCAACTGGACGCCGAAGTTTAGGCTGTCGGTTGGTTTTCAAGATAAAACGAAATGCTGAGGGAAAGATCGTAAGATAAAAACCGAGAATCGTTTCAAAAGGGTACGCTCGAAAAGCTGGCATCGATAATAAGGAACTATTCACTCCTGTGTCACGCTTCGAGCTCATCAGACTCGTTCTGACCTAAAGAAAAGCTCGAACTTTTCCAGTTCGATGTTGCTTCCGCTTCCTTATCCGCGAAAATTGAGGAAGAATTATATATGGACCAACCGGAGGGCTTCCATGATGATACCCTGCGAGTATGTAGACTTTACAAGGCTCTCTACGGGAGTCGTCAGGCCCTCCGATGCTTCCATATGAAGACCAAATCTATACTCCTTGGTCTAGGACTTGGACAATGTCTCGCCGAACCATGTGTTTTTTACGGCGACAATGTGGACAGACTGATGGTATGCTTATACGTCCATGATGCAATTCTGGCAGGACGTACGAAGAAATCAATACTCGATTTCCTGACTAAATTGAAACAGCATCTCGAGATTACGTATAGACCGCTCGATCACTTTCTCGGAATACGAATTCGAAGGATGAATGACATGAGCGTGGTCATGCGTCAAGAACGCTACACCCTTGATATTCTCGAACGTTTCGATATGACGAATTGCAACATTGCAAGCCCTGTTCAACACCAGCTGACAGGGACAAATATTCCCTCGATGAGACCGAGGAACTCGAGGATATACCCTATCGAGAACTCATCGGAAGTCTCAAGTATCTGCAGTTAGGTACCAGACCGGACATCTCATTTATCGTTGGTTATCTGTCGCGCTTCTTAGAGCACGCAACCCACAACAAAGAAGAGGTGGTCTGAAGGCATGAGAGTCCTTCGCTACCTAAGAAGTGCAGCAAACTATGGATTACTTTACAAGAGTTCCGATTTCAATGGATACTGCATACCGCTACCACAGCGATGCGGCATACGTTAGTTGTCCAATCACCAGAAAAAGTGTGTCAGGCTCTCTTGTGATGACTGACTCTGGACCAATCATTTGGGGCAGTCAGTTACAACGGACCCTTTCTCTTTCGAACCGCGAGAGCGAACTTATCGCAGCAGTCTCGACCATACAGCTCATGCTGTATTCCCAACAAACAACAGAAGAAATTGGCCATGGCCACACGAAGACGCTTCTGATTGACAACCAAGCAACGATTTCAATGGTGAGTCAAAACCAATATCGTCAACGAGCCACGCATATTTCAGTTCGTTATCTATTCATAAGAGATCTTTACGAAAGTGGTTGAATCAAAAGTCAGCATGTTCCGACCCGAGATCATCTCGCAGACATTTTAACCAAGGCCTTAACGAAAGCTACCTTCCAAAAGCTTAGAGGTCTATTTGGTATTTCTGCTCACTAGCAATATGAACACCATAATCAAGGTTCTCTTGGTGATCGTCACCATCGGAGGCTCCGGAACCTTCTTCGAGTTCACCCGAGACTGCGACAAGGCCTGCCAACGGGGACGTCGTACTTGTGGAATCGAGCAGACAGACAATGGCAATTTCATGTCCACTTGTATCGAAGCTGAAGCGGCCTGCACTCTGCACGTATCGCCCAGGATGGTTTGCATCACACCCAACAGGAAGATTGGCGGACATTCTCTCTGAGACGCGTATAGTCGGTGGCTCCTGGCTCCACACTCCACACCAGACACCGACTCCCCGCACCATGCTTGCACCAACAACGGAAGCTCCTACCGGTCGGCCTACCACGAAAATGTCAAGCACCACAAGGGCACCGACACCAACGCCGGTGCCTTGAAGCGGAGACCTCAAGTGGTGGTTCTCAACTGGATTTCTATGCTCAATCATTACTACTTTCGGCGGAGTGATCTACTTTCTAGCTTTGAGGCTGAAACGCCTGGGCTTCCAAAAGATCGAATTGAGAGCTAGGCTGCTAAACGGATTAGAGGATGAGAAACTCTAACAGTAAAGGCAAGTTTACGTTCGACAAATTTTGATATTATTGTGAAACTTTGTGAATTTTGAAGACAGGTCTGGGTTCGCAGACCTCGTCACCCCGCCCCTTGTTCCATGCATTGTCCCAACGAAGTGGGACCAGGGACACGAGTACTCTTGTACTCTGGGGAGGGGGGGGCGAGGCTTCCCAAAACAGGCACCACGGCTCGGACTTGGAATAGAGGAGTAACCCGCCAACAATGCGGTCGGTCCGGAAGTTTTCCAGGTCCATTTCTTTGGACGGCCCCTTTCTCATGCTTTCTTCTAGTTCATTGAAATCAAGCATCAGATATCAAGTATCATTTGGGGGCTCGACTTCGGTCGCGGACCGTGACCGCGACCGTGATTTTTCTTTGCATTGCGGCGCGTTTCCCTCTAGAAAGTCTATTTTAGCCTAAAAATGCCGCGAATTTCCGGCTAAATCATTTGAAACGATACACACGGACAACACAAATAAGCACTGCTCAGCGACGCTCACCACAACTGTTTTCTAGATGATTTCTAACGATCGAGCCACGAGACCTTACTTCATTGAGTGACTTGTAACTTGTAACGACAGACTCTTTAATGTTTACATTACGATCCAGACGATGTCGGCCGCCACACAAAGGCGACCCCTATCGGGAGCTCTCCTGACAACAACGATCACCAAAATTGACGCTCTTGGAAAGCTGACCGGAACATGGGGTTAGGGCCTGTGGTGGGGAGAACCTGATCTACACGCGAAACAAGTTCGTTTGGCCGTCTTTGCCATCGTCGTTTTCTTGAAACTCATGTTTCAAGACTCGTTGTCTTTACCAGCTCAATGGAATGAGAACCTCTTTCATACCAATCACAGACAATGAATTCATTTGGTCAGTTCGTCCAGGCTAGAGGAAAGCTCTCCATTTGCCCCCTACGTGCAACACATTCCGGGCGGCTACAAGGCCTGGGAGGCGAGCGCTCTCGAAGAGCCTGCTCACGAAACGGACGACGAGCTCCGGCGTCCATGTCTGGCCAGATGAGTCCAGCAACATCGAGGGCTTGTTGAAAACGGAGCCGATCCCTACGCTGAGCCATGAGTGCATCTATATCTATATATGTAAAAACGTATGTCTGTTTGTCTGTCTGTCCGGGGTTACCTATAGACTCGGAAACGGCCGAAACGATCGTCGTGAAAACTTAGGAGCGTGTTCTGTGGGGTCCAGCGGTGGTTATAGGGGGGTCAGTTCTCCGATGCGATGAGTCCTTCTACCTTAAAAAAATTATTTGAGTGCTCCACCCACGAAAATACGAAAACTCGGATAAAAATTGAAAAATCGCAAATTCGCAAAATTCACAAACGCCTGAACCGATCGCCGCGAAAATTCAGGGGTGGGTTCCCGGTGCTATCGGGGGCTGCCGTCATCATTGGTCCCTGTTTTTCGACTTTCTGCTAATGAATCTCGCAGAAAATTGCTGTAGCCGTGAAGGGTATGGATTTCCCGGGGAACATATGGTATGGAATAAAAGTGGGGGAATGGGAAACCGGAAAGGGAAAGGGAAAGGGAAAGGGAAAGGGAAAGGGAAAGGGAAAGGGAAAGGGAAAGGG